GCGAACGCGCCGGCGGATCTCCACCAAATTCGGGGAATCCCTTCAGCTCGAGGAGTCCTCTCCACGCGTCTGTTGCCCCCCGGGATCGCTTGATCGGTCGGCGCCGGACTGCGAATTTAACCACCCGTAACTCCCGAACCCCGGGGGGTATCGACGCAGAGGTGGTCTCATTCGAAAGCGGGCCTCTAGACGTACACTCGATTCGCGTTCGAGAGGGTTCCTCGAGCTGATCCCCCGAATTTGGTTCGGATTCACCGCGTCAATACGGAGATATGGCCATTCAAAGTTTCAATGGTTTTTCATTGACTTAAGCTTTAAAGCGTTTCATCCAGGTCGCCAGTAGCAAACAATGGAGCGCGCTCTGCTGGACAAACTAAGTAATTACACCATTTCAAGCATTTTATCTGCGTTATAGGTTCTGTAAAAAAAAAAAAATCATATCGGCGGCATATTCGCCAATACCGATATATCGGGGACAGGCTCATATCGGCCGATAATATCGGCAAAACGATATATCGGTCGGGCTCTAGTTAGTAATGTAGCCTAGTTGTTAAGTTTAGGTATTGGGTGTAGAATATGTTCATGCAGAATGTGTGCTTTAATAAACAGCCAATATGTTAATTAATAATGGGCATGCTAATAAGCAACTAGTTAACAGTGAGAATTGGTCCCTAAACTAAAGTGTTACCAAAATCGTTTATTAACAACTATGCATTTTGCAAAGCCAATTACTGACAGCTAAGAAAAGAAGAAAAAAAATCAAATTTAAAAGACATTTAGAAATCAAATACTCAAACTATGTGCCAGTGTGAAACTAAAAAGGCAATTCTCTAATTCAGACTATGTTAATAGTTTTGTTTACAGTCTACGCAGTTCATGGAAACAATACGTTCCATTGTTTGATTTTATATATACTTTTATTGATCAATCATTCTGGCACTTGATGTCCAATATAAAAATGTGCATCTTGAAGCACTGCTCTATATTGTCTCGAGTAACCCCACCTGCTCCCTGTGGCCGTGCATAAACAGAAACCTGTCTGATCCCTCTTCCACCACCCCGCCCCAGCTGACTTCACCTCCTCTCATTCATCCGCTCCCCTGTGGTCCACTTAAACCCAGAGCTCGGCTGAGCAACTGCAGCCTCAAAAGCCGAAGGGTAACAAAGGCCCAAGAGGAGGGCGACACTTGCTGTCCCTACCCCCACGGCCCTGAGTGTGCCCCGGCACGGTACGAGGGGTCAAATGCACTTTTGGGATGCCATACATATATATCAGGCAGGGACATTTGAGTTTGAGTCTCATTTGGAATCATTAAATTGTGCATGCATGTACAACAGTTACAACAGGGGGTTATGCAACAATGCAATTTTTGGTTCCCCAAAGGATCATTCAGTGGTCAGTTATTAAAAATGTGAAGTGTGAAGAACATTTTAATAAACTAAAAGATACTTTTTCAACTATAAAGTACCTTTTGTAGAATTGAAAGATCCATCAATGGCAATAAGGAACCCTTTTAAGAGTGTACTGGCTTTATCGAGACATCTGTATCTGTACTGGCTATTAAAAAAACCCAATGCACTTTTAAAAATAAAGGTTCTTTATTGGCACTGATGGTTCTGTGAAGAACCTTTCACTTCCATGGAACCTTTGCATTGACCAAAAAGTGGAAGAAGTTTCTTTAGATTATTAAAGATTATGAAAATGGTCATTTTAAGAAATGAACCAAAAATGGTTCTTTATCGCAACTCACTCTTTTGGAACCTTTATTTTTAAGAGTGCAGCCAAAAAATGAATCCACTGCGCCAATTGAGCTTGAAGCGAAAATATTCAGAATACAGTAACAATCATTAAAACAAAGACATCTGAAGTGATTACAGTAGCTGATGTATATTTAGCATCGCCAGGGGTGCTTTAGATTTAAAAAACAACAACAAAAAAACGCACTAAAATAAAGCAAAAAATAAAGAGACTTGATTAATCTTCTTTTTTTTCTTTCTTTTTAAATGTAGAAGCTCTGAAACATTTTTTTCTGAGCAGCATCCGCCCACACGCTCGAGAGCTATGAACCTCAATGGGTTTATAGCTTGAAATGAAATGGATATGAATTATTTACTCAATCAGTATCTCTTAAAGAGATTGGAAAGGCAACAGGATACTGCGGACAGGTGGCACGGCCCCGTTTCAAGTGGTAACGTGAGC